AACCCATGTGTTAAGAAGTCAGGTCTCCTGGAGAGCACAGAGGCTCTCAGACCCCTGACCTAAGAGATGAGAGGGATCAAAATACAGGTTGGGGAGAGCAGCATGCACCTGCCTTTAGGTGGGAAAGGGGAAGAGAGGTAGAAATGGCTTGTATGAGGATAGGGAGTTGCACCAGAATCTTACAAAACTCCCCCAAGAAATGTTGATAATCAGATCATTTTACTAAATGAAATGAAAAGAACAGACCATGATTGGCATCTGTTGGCAGTGAGGAAATAACTCTCTCAGAGTTAATGGTTAAACATTGAAATTACCAGTGTGCCAAGACTTTATGCTTTCAACAGAGGATGTATCCAGATGGTGGCAGTAAAAGGCCATGGTAATACTTTGTGAAAGGAAATGCTATAAGTTAATACATGGGAAGTTTTTATTCTCTTCAGACCAGTGAGGCTAAAATATCCCAGGTGAGGCCCTCAGCTTCCACAGCTCCTCTTCACTGCGTGGGAACTGCATTCAGCTCCCATTAGAAACCTCTGAAATCCCAGGCAAAGCACGTGTCCACAGGGCAGAGGACTCATGGCCGTGGGCTGTTGCACTTCCAACTGCACTCACAGCCTAGAAGTATGAAAACGCTGAGAACATAACACTGGGCGTCCCTGGACACTGGGTCTTCCTGGTCAATGTGGGACCCATAAGTCCAATGAGCTTACCTCAATGAGCTTCTAGCAACCACAGTGGTAGACAGAAGAGGGTACAATGTTTAAAAGAAAGAAAGCGGGGGGAAAAAACTGGCAAAAGGGGAATGGGAAGGAGACTATGATAGTAATCCTCCACAGGCTCCAGTTCACTAATTACCAGATGTCATGTAATCACATCTGTACTTGAAGCCCAGGGTCTTTTCCTGTCAGGGGCAGTGTAAGACACCCAAATGTCAACTGGGCCCAGGTACATTTTGAGCACAAACTCTGGTCCCACTGAGGTCAGCACACCTCAGGGCTACCATCGGCACAACACTGACCCAGTGTCCCTCTGGCCTGATTTGGGGGTGGTGGGCTGGGATAGATATAACTGAGTAAGCAGTGACCACATGCAAATGAGGCAGGGGACCTGCTGATAAACAGCAGCCAAGCCCCACTGAAAACCAGCCCGTGGCAGAAGAAACTCCGCATCTGTCCAGCCCACAGGGTCATTGAGGGGACCTGACATGGCAGGTCTTGGTGTGCTTCTCTTCCTGGCAGCTTGCTCAGGTGAGTGCAGGAGATGCACAGACACCCAGGGAGGACAGGGCCCGGGGGGAGGAGAGAAGGTGTCAGGACCTGGGATCAGCCTAGGATGCAGCAATTCTGGGATATAATTACCACCCAAGGGTCTGCAGTATTTCACTGTCATCCGTGTAAGTGAGAATCGACTGGGAAATTTCAATATGTGCATCTCAGGCTCGGACTCTGTGCACTATGATTTGCCGGGAGAAGAATAATGGGAAAGCGCAGTATTTCACTGTCATCCGTGTAAGTGAGAATCGACTGGGAAATTTCAATATGTGCATCTCAGGCTCGGACTCTGTGCACTATGATTTGCCGGGAGAAGAATAATGGGAAAGCATCTGTCACCCCACACAGGGTGTCTGTGGATAAAAGGGTTGAAAATAAAAGGAGTTTAGACACTTCTAGGCAGGAACAAAAAGGATAGACATGGATTCAACTAGGAAGGAATTGTAAAAAAGGCAGAAATTCATAAGACGTTATTCCTTCCATTGTCCTCTCTCAGCAGGAGTCACCTCCCAGGTCCAGCTGACCCAGTCTGGAGTAGAAGTGAAGAAGCCTGGGGAGTCGGTGAAGTTGACATGTAGAACATCTGGCTACACATTCACCAGCTATAGCATGCGTTGGGTGCGTCAGGCCCCTGGGAAAGGGCTTGAGTACATAGGATGGATCAATACCAATGGTACAGGCTATGCCGAGGCTTTCAAAGGGCGATTCACCATCACCATGGACACCTCCATCAGCACGGCCTATCTGCAGCAGAACAGCCTGAAGACAGAAGACACAGCCGTGTATTACTGTGCCAGGGACACAGCGAGACAAAAATGCATCTAGAGCAAGTCAAAAACCTCAGTGAAAGCCTCTGGGTCTCCAGGCAGCACTGAGGCCCTTTGTCACCCCAGTGAGCACTCAACCAGTGGAGACAACTTTGGGTCCTTTCCTCCTGAGGTCTCGGGTGACCCAAGAACCCCAGTTCCAGTACAACCCAAGGGGATTTTGGTTCCTAGGCACCCAGTTCCCTCCATCCCAGAGCTCTGTTTGCATGGC